TGTAGTTTTGGTGCCTGTCCTGGATCTCGCTCTGTAGACCAGGCTGGCCTCACAACTCACAGAGATCCTCCTGGTTCTGCCTCCCAAGTGCTGGGATTAAAGGCACGCGCCTCAGCCACCCGGCTCTGAATTAGGATTCTTGATCAAGAAAGAAGGGCACATGAATGGCTAAAGATGGGAGAAGATATCCAGAGAGGATTTAAAAGGAAAAAGAAATCTTGACTACGAAATCAATGCACAAATTGTTTAAATGCCTATATGTGCTTAAGTCCATGCTCTGGAATTTAGAAGCCAATGGTTTTCCAGAGTTTATACTTGCTTTCAAGCATCATATCAGAAAGCTGGTACATCTCAACTCAGATTCATCTCCCCCAGGGTTACCATGACATCATAAGCGAGGGAATTCTGGCCAAATGTTTTCCTGAGTTCAAAACCTGAGTAGTGTTCTACCAGCTGTGTGGTATTAGGCAAGGTACTTGAGCTTTCTGTACCTGTTTCCTCATCAGTAAATTTTAGCTGATGATAATGACACACCCCTCATAGGAACGATGTAATAATCAAATGACTTAATACACACAGCATGCTTAGTCTGTTCCTAGCACCTAGGAAGTGCACCCAGTAAAGGGCAGCTGTTATTCATTGTCCTTCTTGGCATGGCAGACTCAAAGGGCAGGGGTCTCAATCAACAACGGTATTTCTCTCCATCCTAATGAAACCTACCATGTATCAGCAATCACAGTAAATGCCTCACAGATGAAGAAATGTACCCATGAAGTTGATGCCTCATCAAATGGCTCCCAGGTGCCAGGTGCCAGGTGCCAGGAATTTGTTATCAGATACATCCACTGACACCCCCCCAGCCAAAAAAAAAATCTACCAAAACATATTCTGACATTAACTAGTTGAAACAATAGAGCATGGAAAAATAAACATTCTCCATAGAATCTGTCCTGAAAATAAAGCCAGAATAATGGATACTGACTCCACATCCTGAACATTCACCTGCCTACTAAAGGTCTCTCCTAATGGTCTACAATCGGCCACAACTTTTTCTTTTCAGTTCTCTTTTGTTTTCAGCCTGTGCTGCCTGGTTGGAGTTGGGGGGCCCGTGAAGGTGGCAGGTTGTTGGGGCGGAGTTGGGTGGGGTGGGGGTGGAGATATGACCTGGATAACAGTTTCAGGAAAAGCAGCAGACACAAGCCAGTATCTGCTTGCATGAGCCCAGGGAAGGATTGAATGGGACTGTCCTGCCTCATGTCAGATAGCACACCCTTTAACTCACTTGATTCTGTGGTGCCATGCGAGCATGCGTGCACATGCCTGTGTGCGTGCATATGTGTGTGTGTGTGTGTGTGTGTGTGTGTGTGTGTGTGTGTGTGTGTTCTTTACCCCAAGACCCACCCCCAGGGCTCCACATTCAGTGACACACGCAGAAGAGTTTCTATTCTACACTAAGAGAGAGGCTGTGCTGGCAATGACCAGGAGACATGAAGAGCCTGAACCATAGAGAGGGAGACATCCAAAGAGGCCAGTGCTGAGGCCAGAGCAAGAGAGGAAGGCCAAGCTGAGATCCTGTTTCTCTAGAGTGGTTTCACGTAGGGTAGGCTGCAATTCAGCCCAGAGCTGTCCCCAGGCCAGCTGGGTAACCCCCAGCAAGCGTCAGCACCTCTGTTTCTTTATCTTAAAAATAATATAATGGTAACCATCTCCTAAGGTTACTGTAAAAAAAATAAAATAAAATAACCAAGGTAAGACACGTGAGCCATCCCAGTACAACACTGGACATATGAAAGACGCTTTATATATGAATGTGATTCATTCCTTCCCTACCCAAAAATGGACCCCAGGAGCACCCAGAACTGTCAGAACCTAAGAGGCTGGGCCCTGGCGGCAAACAGCTGGGACTGCACAGTGCTTGCCTTGCTAACTGTAGGACCCGGGCTTCATCTCCATCATCTGAAAAGGGGGAACAATATGTAACTCCCTGGGTGAAGGTCTGCACAAAACTTAATTAATGAAAGCTAGCAGATGGCTCTCGCTGGAATGCAGAGCTGTTTGCGGAGCAGTGGGCTTCTCACACTCACCCAGCCAGAAGATGGCAGATCAGGGATTGCAGCCTGCGAGGTCTCCCTCCGGAGTCACCTCTCTTCGCTACTCTGCTACAATGACACAAGGACTAGTTCTGTGAATGTCACTTTGAGGACCTGGAAGGAAAATAGTGAGAATTCTAAATAACTTCAGGCCTTTCTCTACCACCTGGCCTTCATCCCTTGCTCTTCGCCCTTCCCACTTCCACATCCTGTCTTCACCCACATTCATCATGTGGCTTTTAGCAGCTTAGTGTTTGAGATCATCCAACTATCCATTCTAATCAAATTAATACTTACACATATAATACTCATTCTTAATTAGAGTGTAGTTTCTCTGTTTTGTTTGTTTGTTTGTTTGTTTGTTTGTTTATATTAATCCTCCCTTTTATCTACTGATACAGAAGCCTGAATTTTCTCACAGTCACCCAGAGATGCTACATTATACACCCAGGACCATGGGACACACCAGGGTTAATATCAGACACATCTGCTGCTAGGTTACTTTCTACTCCCAAACAACTGAGCTAGAAGGGGGGGAAGTGCAAATTTCCCCAAAAGCTTCTTTTCTAAAAACAATAACAAAATAGCGTATTTTGTTTAAAAACTCTTCCTCAGGAGGGCTGTATATATGTGGCTCAGAAACCAGTAGCAAAATGGGACAAAACTCAGCATGAGAGAAAATAGCATAGAGGATTATGGGAGTCCCCAGAAACCAAGCTTAAATGGGACAATTCACAGATGTTAAAACTTGAAGGAATCCCTGGGGGCATCTGGACTCAGCTATTTGTGGATTCTGTTCATGTGCAGATTTTTTTATTCAAACAAAACCTTACCCAGATTTAGAGAAAATCTCTGAGACTCTTCTTGAATCCCAAGAGGAAGCATCGAGCCAACACTCTGTCTTCAGCCCTTCAGCCCCGACAGTTTCTAAACCACTGCCCTAGGGGCTAGGGAGATGGCTCTGTGGATAAAATACTTGCCTCCAAAGCATGAGAACTTGAGTTCAGTGGATCTCTAGAACCCATACTTTAAAAAGAGCCAGGTGCAGCAGGACATGCCTGCAGTCCCAGCACTGGGGGAGCAGAGACAGGGAGATCCCGGGAGCTTTCGAGCCAGTGAGTGCGGCTGAGTCTGTGAGGTTCGGGTTCAGTGATAGACTGTCTCCAAAGCAACCAAGAGGCTGGAGAGAGATGGCGCAACATTCAGAGCATTTGCTGCTCTTTCAGAGGGTCTGGGTCAGATTCCCAGCGCCCACACGGCAGCTCACAGTAGCTGTAACTCCAGTTCTGTTCCAAGAGATCTGACACCTTCTTCTGGTTTCTGCAAGTAGCGGGCACACATTCAGTAACACATACATACATACATGTAGGCAGGCAAAACATTCGTACACAGAAAATAAAAATAAAATTTTAAGATAGTAAAATAAAATAAGCTTGCATGTGATTGAGAAAGACACCCATTGTTGACCACTGGTCTGCACACGCGCGCACACACACACACAAACAAAAAGAAATTAAAACCCTTTTTGAGACAGGGTTTCACTGAGTGTGTTGTCCTAGCTGTCCTAAAACTCACTCTGTAGACCAGCATGGCCTCGAACTCAAAGACATCCATCAGCTTCTGCCTCCTGAGTGCTGGGATTAAAGGCACTGCCATACCCAGCAAAATGATTTTTTAAATAACTATCTTAATTCTATTTTCTCCTATTACTGTTGGGAGAATTGGGACTGGAAAAGCTGGCTGTCTTGTCTGAGGTCACACAGCTAAGTCAGAGTCCTCAGCAGTCCACTATCTTTCTCCAACGATTTTTCCACGATGACACATGACTTCTCACATGAACTGCCTTTTGTTTCTTCACACCGTTCATGTGTTTGGATTTGAGTGCTTGTGCCCATGCCCAGTGTTCCCAAGAAAACCTAACCAACCAGTCCCCGCTTTCACCTGCAAGCTCCGAGTCTGCAGTTTGGGCACGTTAGCGACTTGGCTGCCTGAGACTGAGGGAAGAATGGTACGCATGATAGAAGGGTACAAATACTCCTCCCTGCGGACCTCATATGTCACCATTTAGACTAGAGAGATGTCCTAAAAAAGTGAGAGGTTTTCAGTAAGACAACTGGGCGTTTGCAAGCAGTCAAGAGCCCTCCCTGGTGTGTGGGTCCGGACACCAGACAAAGGTGCAAGGTCCCGTCATCCCTCCATCTGTAAAGCAGAGGAGACTGGGAAAACCGTCAGCTGGCTCCAGTGTTCAAACGTGATGCCTCTGGGTGCTTAGCGTGAAAGGGCAGCAATGGTGCTGCCCACTGGCTCTCCCCAAGCCCCCTGGTTGGAAGGTCACCACCAGGATCAGTGGAAGGAAGGGAACTTCTGACTAACGTGCTTTATAAAGGAAACAGTTGGCACTTAGGGACAGGCTTTCGGGTGATTTGCTGACGTTCCCGAGGACGGCCTTCCCAGCAGCGACAAGGAACGGCTTCCATTATTGCATTAATCTGATGAATCCCGGAGACGCTCATTAACTTATTCACAGTAACACAGCCGGAAAATGATGGGCGCAGAATTGGATCCCTGCAGCAGCTTTATTCTTTGCCCCACGCTGCTCTTCTCTCCTCACACACACAGAAAGGGAGGAACACCGTACACAAAGGTTCAGGACTTGGCTAGCCCCGGAGAAGGCTACAACGGACAGACAGACACCAGGCCCCCGGCAAGCACCCGACATGTATCTCCCAGGGGCAGGAATTCTCTGTTTGTCGCCTGGGTCCCCTCACTGGGCACAAAAGCAAGAGAAAGGTAAACTTTCTGCATGTGAGAACCACCCCCCACCACCACCACTAAGGAGCCGAGTCACACCGTATGTCACCGTCATCAAAGGGGCTGTGCATAAACCTGAAAAACCAAACGGACCTGTCTGTAGGTGTCACTTATATCACAAGGCTACAGGTGCCTTTATTTCTACCGTCCGCTGGTGTTGGGAGCACGCCTGCCTTCTCTTGCCCTGAAAGCCTTCTGTCTGGACCTAGCCGCCACTTGTCTTCACGTAAGCAGCTTTTCTTTTTGCTCTTTTGAATGAATTGAAAGGGGTGTCGGGGCTCAGAGTCTCAGCTGGGGCCTGGGACTGAGTCTCTTATCTCCAGCGCCCACACCAGCCCCTCCATGAGGCAGTCGAGTGCCTTCTCCGGGGGTGTTTGACTCAGCCTTGACTGCTTGCCGGAGAGATTTGTGTCTCCTCGGGCAAAGTGGCCACCCACCCTCTTCAGCGTCCCCCACTTCCCCTGGATCCACTAAACCAGAAGCAGCTCAGATCTCTGCTCCTCCTTCAACTGCCATTAGGAGGGAAGCCGGATTCTGTACAGATAGCCAGCTCAAGGAAAACCCACCACCTCCCCCAACTCTGACCTCACCCTCAGATCGCCCCCCCCGGGGGGGGGGCGGCTGCTGCTCACCATGCTGTCCCTCTTGATGCAGAGAATGGTATTATTACAGTTTGGGGCATTTTTTAGGAGTTTGTACAAAATAGTTTAAAAGAATCCCATTTGGCACTCTTACAGCCCCTTAGAACAGAATGCTTCCAGAAAAACAGTGGCTAGGGTTTTTTTCCACTGTATTCTCAAACCTTATCAGTCTCTGCGTGCGTGCGTGCTGGGTTCATGTGCATTCGCCCCCTACTGGCAGAAATTGGAAACCACATGCTCTCCCGCATCTGCGTTAAATATTAAGGTGCTGAGAATTTCCTAAGACAGAAACGGTATCCTAGAACATTAAGAACTTCGTCTCTATTTTACAGAAGAGACTACTGAGGCACGAGAAGGCCCGATAATTTATGGAGACAGCTTTGTGTTGTAGTCCAAAGTCCCAGGCCCAGGCTGTTGATTGCCCATCCGCACGGAAGTTTAATTCTTCTGATTTTGTGCTCTCTGCAAGTTTTTTTGTCCTGTGATTCAACATATTTGAGACAGCAGCTTTTACAGTCTGGTTTCCTCCACTTCTCAAAGTCTCCAGAGTGAAACTTTTTAGCTACTCTATGTTAACCGGTTTTATTAAATCCTCAGGACATTTCGGAGGATTGTGTGTGAAAGATGTCCATTTTAAGAATGAGGAAGTGGGTTATCAGAGATGGTCATGAGTACTTACATAGCAGACCAGAATGGAAAAAAAAAATCAAAACTTTTAGCATGCAGGCAAGAAAGTCAGAAATTGCAGCAGGCTAAGAGGTTAAGAACTGTACCCCACATCTCTTGCTTTGTGAACAACACAAGCAATATTTATTCCTCGTGTCTTTAACCTAAAACTTGTGATCCTTGCATCAAAACCCACAGCTTCCTCCTATGAGCCTCCAGAAAAACAGCTAAAAATAAACAAATGAAGTCCTAAGTAAGCTAAAGAAAAAATGAAGAATTACTCGATAAGCCGTCAACAAGTTGGTTCCCACAAAGCTGTGGTTGCTTCCAGAACAAATACTCAAGCACCCAACCCACAAGCCTTCCCTTATTGAAAGTGTTGAAATACCCTCATTGAGCCCTCTGTATCCTGCCCTGCTTTAAGAGCCCCAAAGGGTGGAAAATTGACATTCCTTGTCTGTAGGGTTCTGGACTCGGTGGACAGTCAGGTGTCCTGGAGCTTTAGAGGAGAAAAAGCATTTCTCTACTCAGTGGCACTGCCCAGATGGTAGAATTGTGGACAGCCTTTCTCAGTCCTTTCCCTGATTTTGAACTGGTGCGGCTTTGTTCAAAGATGTTTTGACAAAGAAAGAGTCAATGCCTGGACCCGGACATTCAGGAGGTAGAAGCGGAAGGACTGCCTCAAGCTTGAGACTAGCCTGATCTGCATAGCAAGTCCACACATCAGAGATGGGGAGGGGAGAAAAAAAAAAAAGGGAATGGGAAGGAGAGAAACAGCCAAAGTGTAGATGCTTAATTAGGTAGATTTTTGGTTGCATGCCCAAAATGAACTTGATGATCCTGGCCAGGGTCAAGGAGGAATTTTCCTCTTCTGGCATATTGGCCAAGGTTGGGTGGTTTACACCCTCACTTCTCTCTGGTGGTTGAGGCCATGGGCACTGTACCTGTCCTTTCTGCGATGGGTTTGTAAGTAGGACGGAAGCCCATGAGCCTGGCTCTTTCGCTGGGTGGGACCGTGTGTGTGTGTGTGTGTGTGTGTGTGTGTGTGTGTGTGTGTGTGTGCGCGTATGGCGTATGAGCTTGCTCCAGAAGGGGACAGGAAGTCACTGGAGGCTCTCGGCTCCAGGTCATCCCTGACTCACTCCAAAGGTACCTACTACAATCAGCCTTCTCAACAGTAGGAGAGAGCTCGCCTGACTTCACCGTCTTGGGGTTGATCATACCAATCTTTTCCTACTTCTGAGGCAGCCAGAGCGGTAACTAATATAGGAGAAACTGCTTCCATCTGCTGTTCGAAAGTCGGGCCATGAGGGTCCAGGACATCTAAGGTATCTGGTCGCGTTGTTCAGCTGAGCATAAGAGGGAAGGAGGAAGGGGGAACCAGACGGCTTTCTGGGATACAGGTTACTTACTCTGTGTCAGTACTAGTTGTATTTTGCTTATTTGGAGACTTGACTTGTCCGAAGTGCAAATGTTATTAATGTGGCTGTGCGTGTGTATGTACGTGTGTACAGGCTCGGAAGTGTCCGGCTGATCAAGTGGGAACCTGAAGAAAACCACAGAGCCAGGGTTGGCCTTGAGTCTGTCCCTTAGTGTCCTCCTGTCATGGGTAAAGAACTAAGGTCCTAGAGAGATGCAAAAGCAGGACATGACTCCAAGTTCAAGGATCTTTAATAATGACAAGCCAGAGTGTGGGTAGACCAGCGGGCCCAGGAATCTTCTAGTGTCCCCTTTTCGGCTTGCACAATGCTAGGCCTCTCTAACCCAGTCCTTTCCTGCCTTATTTTTCTTACCACCCTCCCCTCAGAGCCTTTCTTCACCCCCATACCTATTGAGAATGTGGCTGGACAAAACCAGACCCGGTCTTACATATGGCTGGTCCAGAATCCTCACTGAGAAGAGGGTACCACATTGGTGATCCACCTACATTGAAGAAACAGTCAAAATGTCCAATTACTGCAAGCACCTTCCAAGGCCTAAAGAAAAGGTTCTGATGAACACAAAGCAGCCTTTATTCCTGAACTTGCACACCTAGTGCATGCTGGCTAAGTAGCCATGGCCTTTTGTGGTGAGCTTAGACTTAATAACGCCTCCTCTTACGACAATAGCAAAATAAGAAAGAAAGAAGGAAAGAAATGTTCACGGCTTTCATAAAAGACCCCACCACCACCACCAAAGAAGCAAGAAATAATTGTGGAAGGAAAACAGCATGGTATATACCAGCTAAGCCCTCTAAACAAATCTAATGGGTATAATTTGCCATAGAAGGAATTATCCAAGGGAACCAAATCCATCATTGTGTGCAGCCCTGAAGAGATTAGAGATCGAGGGGGTGGGCTGGTGTGCAGGGGGGCGGCAAAATCCTTAAAGAGGGTAAACACCCTACTGATCAAAAACAGTCCTGAGCTTTGTAAGATCCAGTTCAATTTACTAAATGACTTTTTTGTGAAATACTAAATGTCCTGTATATGTCAGGTGTGGGTGAAGAAGGGCAAAGTCAAGGTCGGGTTTAATCTTTGGAGGATGCCCCATCGACTTTGAAGATCTGGAGACTGTGTTTTGTTGTCTTCTATTTGGGGCCCACCTCTAGTTTCTCCAAATTCAGTTAAGGCCATGTCAGAAGTGTTCTGAGTGTCCTGCCCCAAAAGGGTGAGGGTCTTTGTATCCTTTGCTCACACTTACAAGATTTCCCAGAAGTTGATTAAGTGTGGTGTTCAGCCTTAATCCTGCTCCCTGGCACCCCCACCCTCACCTGGTGCAGACTCAAGATAGAAAGCTGGTCAATCCATGGGAAAATCAGAGCCCAAACCCAGGAAGCCTTGGCTTCTGATTGTCAGCTCTCAGGTGAGATCCATGGTTGATCTGGACCCGTTAATCCTGTCCAGGAATCAAGAAAAGGTTGAGACCTAGGGAATATACTGGCGCTGTCCCAGAGAGGATATCCCAGAGGAAGAACCCAAACTCTTGTTTTTGTTTATCAGCATACAGTTCTGCACAATGAATGGTAATCATGATGGTAGATTTGTGAGCATCTCAAAAGACCCCTGTGACTCTTAGTAACCATCATATAAATGTGCCTGGGAGGAGACTGTGCCTTTAGATAGGGAAGCTAACAGAGCTCCTGGGAAAGTTAGGGCCTCTCTCAAGCTTAACTCTGCTGTCCATTGGCTGTGTGACCTTGAGCAAATGACATAGATTCCCTGGCTCTCCACTTCCTTCCCTAGCAAATGGTGGAGTGTATTTTCTATCCCTGGAACTACAGGCCTGGGGAAGCAGGAGGTAATTCTGCCCAGAGGTTGGCAAATGCCTCAAAGGGCCGGGTAGTAAATATTTTATGATTCGCTGGCCAAAAGACAAAAATCAAGAATGCTAAGTAAACACGTATTTCAAAATCTAAAAAGATTTCTAGCTTCAGGATAAATAAAGAAAGGAGATGTGGGCTGGATTGGCTTCAGGTTGCAGATAGCTAACTGCTGATTTAGGTGGTACATGAATGAGCCATTTCTTTTTGAGGTGATACATTCATTTTTATGTATATTAAAGAATACTAGCTTTCCGTTTATAATAATTATATGAAGTTTTCCCTTTAAAGACACATTTACTTTAAAGAAAAAAATGATGGTTGTTGAAAATTTTAATTTTTTGTCTTCAGAGAAGCAAGTGGATTCAGTACAATTATCATGGTGACGGGTAAAATGATGGAGTTTGAAGGAGGCTGGACTAAATGATGGAGAATCGTTCATACATTCCAATTCTATCTTATGATGCTCCTGGACCTGGTATCTCACTTTTGCCTGGCCTTTGCCAGTACTGTGATTTTGAGCTACTGTGTCCTCCCTGCAAATAGAGTTTGAACCAGCTTATCTCATTAATTTTATTTCAAGAATTAAAACAAAGTTAAGTTTAAAAAAAAAAATTCCAACTATGACCCCCTGCAACACACACACACACACACACACACACACACACACACACACACACACACACACATTGTGGAGATACAGAACACGGTGCAGAGGTAGCGTTTGGCCCTATGGGCAGCAGCAGGGGTGAGGTGGTCAGGGCAGGAACACAGTCTTCTGCCCAGCCTCAGCCCGACACCTTTGCATGAGCTGCCCTCCAAGTGCCGTCAAGTGCTCAGGGAGCAGAGTGCTGCAGACAAGACCAGGGACTTCCCAAGCAGGCCCACCTGAGCTGCCTCTCAAATTCCATCTCCTGTGAGCTGAGGTAGCTTGTACTTCTACCTAGAATCTCAGAGCCCCCATCCTTCCTCCACAAAACAGAACTTTTCCCAGAACCCATCAGAGTGGTTGCTCTGAGGAAAGTACTAGAGGACTTACACACAGTACTCTCCACACACCTGAAGCGGAGTGGACTGGAGTATTCAGAACTCCCCAGTGTCAGGAATGGGATATGGTATACATCCTGTAGAAACAGAGCTCCTAGGGGGATCCAGGGTTGCTCCAGCACATTAACATTGCTGCAGAGTATCATGTAAATATTCGCTGACTGGAATAAATTAACTACAGCTATAACATAGTGTGATACCATGCCCATGTCTAGTGCATAAAAACTTTCCGACATCAGTTCAGGACTCTTTTGCTGGGGAATAAGATTGTGGCAAACACATGCACATGCTAACACACAGAAATTTTCAGAGCTCTCTGATTTCAGCATGTTAGATAGAATCATACAAGGCAATGCTTGGCCCATTTTCCAAAGTGCACTTATATATATATTATATAAAATATGTATTATATATGCTATATATAAATATGTTATATATAGAGAGAGGGTGTAGCCAGGCATGAGTAAAGAGAAAAAGTCAATAAAGAGACAGGATTGCACAATATGAGCCTCTATCCTCATATCCCAGTTCTGCAACTTCTTGTTATATTACTTGGGCAACTATCTCAACTCCTTTGGTTCAGTTTTCTCATAGGTGCAATGGGAATAGGCAGGATGCGGTGAGAACCAAAAAACATTGTCGGTGGAAAACACTTCATGGGAGTGCCCGGCTGCTGCCCTTGTCAAAAGCTAAGGGCCATTCTATTGGGAGTTTCCACACTATGTGGCTGGTGGAAGCCCATGTTCCACGCATCCTCACAGCCTCTCTGATATTCCAGGGTGATGTTGGACTCCGTAACCCATAGCACCTTTCTGCCCAACACATCCTTCTGTGACCCCCTGATGTCTTGGACCGATTTGTTCAGCAATGAAGAATATTACCCTGCCTTTGAACATCAGACAGGTACGTCCGTCCATCTGGGGGTTCCCATTCAAGGGCAGTGGGACTGGGCTCAGGCAGGATGGACTGGTCCAGGGCAGCCTAGAAATGCCAGTGTTCAGGGCAGATGCTGGTGGGAAGCCACAGGGAAGGAAGTACTGCGGCGTTGTAGGGAAGAAAAGGACTAGAATCCTCATTCTTCTTCCTACTTCTGCGTAAACTGTGCAGCCTGCCTCAAAGTCATGTGCAGTAAACATGAGTCCCCTGCCAGTCCTAAGGCCTCCTCTTCACCCTCCTCTCACTCTCCTTCTCCCTCCCAACCCCCAGCTCAGTTTTCTGTACCCAAGAAGGAAGCTGGAGACCTTATGTAAATCTCACTGCAGAGGGAGGCCAGCTGAGCTTTGCCCCAGAAACCCTCTGAGGCCTCCATGCCTGAGTAAGTGCTTAGGTGACTGCACATGCCAGCAACCCCAGCTGGCTGATGGCATGGCAGGCGCACACCCCACGGGTGATGCAAACACCAGTGAGGCTGTCAGTCCTCGTGGAGACTTAACCCTGAGCACGCCAGTCTGGTCAGGGCTGAGCCTAGTGTCTAGAGGCAGGGAGAGATCAGGGGGTGCCCGTCCACACTGTCACCACCACAAGGAAGCCCCTGCCTTTAGTGAGAGCTAGAGGCCAGGCCTGCATACCCAGAATGGAAGTGATTCCTAAATCACTCAGTAATGTACACACACACTCCTGCCCGCCATGCACACATGCGCACATGAAATCTCTCACTCTCATCTGAAAGATCTATCAGGTTTATCCAACCCATGGTCTATGTAGTCCACATGCACTGAAGGATAGGTGTAAATGGGGCCCAACACAAAAATCATACACTGTCCTAAAACATGATGAGATATTTCTTCTGCAATAGTTTTTGTAAGTCACTCAAAGAGAACTTTGCAGAGGACAATTCCATGTCACAATGTCGAAAGACCACAGCATTTGGACTTGACTCATTTGAGTACATAGTACAATTCTCCTTTGATCCCAAGAAGTATCTGGATTCCCTCGAAATGGTAAACAATGTAACTCACCTCCTTTCCTCAAAAGTTTGGGTAGGAGGTTAATGGAAAAGAAGAAAATGAAGGCGTTAGGGTCTTCGTTCTTTCACGTTGTTGGTGCCTGTTCTCCAGGATTTGGTGACTTTGAGGTGACAGGAGGGAGATGGCCTCAGCACTGTGCCTACAGAGTGCCCTGATGACAGGAGCAGTAGCTTCTGTAGTTGACCAGAGTCTAGACTGGGTTCCATGTGACCTTAAAGGGAAAAGTGGCCTTGACTCTGTTCACTCCAGTTTAACCTCTCATGCTCCAGTCTCCTCTGGGATGAGGATGATGATGGTGGTAGAGGCTGGCACCAACGAAACTCAGGACTACTTCCAGCTGGGGGTAAAGAGAAAGTTCTAGAGCTGATGGTTGTGCTGATATTTGCATAACAATGTGAACATACTTCATGTCACTGAACTGTACACTTTAAAAGGGTTAAAATCCCAGGGCGTTGTGGTGCACACCTTTAGTCCCAGCACTCAGGAGGCAGAGGCAGGCAGATCTTGGAGTCTGAGACTAGCCAACAGGGTAAGTTACAGGGCAGCCTGTGCTACACAGAGAAACTATATATATATATATATATATATATATATATATATATATTCCATTAATAGAAAGTATCACCAAGGGAACTGACCATGTAATTTAATTCTCTACACTCTTGGATTCCTGGGGGTAGTCCTCCCCTTGGCATTTCCATTAATGTGATGAAAGGTGAGACAATGTCATTGCTAAGATTCTTCCAGAAGTGTCTCTGAATCCCCATCAGGAGACATCAGAAACATAAACTTCTCTCACCACCATACAAAACATTTGAAATCTCCATCGAGATATGAGACCAGTGAAAATAAAATATCCTCTTTTCTTTTCCCAAGAAGAACACTGTCAGAGAAGTGGCATGTGAGTCTGAGTTTCTATGAAAGCCTTCTCTACCAGGAGCAGATTGGGGGTAGTCAGGATGCCCTGGCCACTGCTTCCTCAAGCATGTCTCCTTGCTGCCCACAGATCTCCATCTTGAATTTAGACATTGCCACTTGTCAGCCATATGACATCAAGCTTTTTGACACATTTTCCTTCACCATAATAGTACCCCCTCCCGAAAGCTGAGCATGTGAAATGAGAGTTCAGACTGTTATGGGGGCTCAGACACCTGCCTGGCACTTGTTAGATGCTCATCCCATGCAGGCTCACCTCACAACTCCTAACAGCTAGAAAACAGCCACCGCCTTCCTCTCTCCGTCCTCCAGCCCAGGTCTCAGTAGTAACCCTCCCAATCTGGAATTGAGACCCAAGGCAAAGGAAGTGAGAAGGAAGAGATGCGCCCTGTAGACAAGTGATGTCTAGGAGACGGGGATACGCAATGTTCAGCCTGCTGAGGAAAGCGGCTGTTTTCAGACTTTGCAAACGACTTCAGCAGAAAGCCTGTGTCCTCAATGTGCTTATCACAAAGGATTTGGCCCTGCTCTTTGAAGCAGGACTTTTGGTTGACTGCACTAAAGGTTGGAAAAGGCACAGTCACAGATTGCAAAATACTCTCAAACTTCATTAATTTGTCTTGGCCTTGGCTTCAGCTTCTTCAAAATAGAAAATGGTCAGTATTAGACAGTTTATTGGTAGAAACTCTGTATTCCATATGTACATATATTGTATGAAATACACACACACACACACACACACACACACACACACACACATGGGTTTTTATTGTTGTTTTGTTTTTGTTTTTAGTCTTTCAAGACAAGGTTTCTCTGTGTAGCCTTTTCTGTCCTGGAACTCACTCTGCAGAGCATCCTGGCCTCAGACTCACAAAGATCTGCCTGCCTCTGCCCTCCTGAGCGCTGAGATTAAAGGTGTGTGCCACTGTGAATTAAAGGTCTGGGCCACTGTGGTTTTTGGAGACAGGGTATCACTATGTAGTGCTGGCTGTCCTAGAACAGGACAGGCTGGTCTCCAACTCCGACTGCCTACCTCAGTACTGGGATTAAAAGTACATGCCACCACGGCAGGTTTCACAGGCATATATTTTTAAAAGATTACAAGTCCAATTAAGTTCTAATAGTCTACCTTCTCTAGCCTCACCCCCACTTCCTGGAGTTCCACCCCACATATCTTCCTCCCCACACACCTCTTTCCTGACCTTCAAAATGGCCATGCCAATATGCGGCCCCTCCTTCACTTCGGAATTTGGCTTATACTCTTTCCACACAGGAGCTATCTAGCCTGGGGAAGCCCTGGGGAAGAAGTTCAAGAGGCCCCTCAAGTCTACCATACAGAGCCCGAGTGGTGGGGGGGGGCGGGAGACTAGATGCTGGCTCTCCCCTCTGCACCCCCACCCTCAGGCAGATTCTTCCATTTTCATTCTGCATAGCTGTTACCCAGGTTCAGCTGCAGGAGCAGGATGACGCCCATATCACCCAATTCTAGCTCTGTCCCTTACCCATTGTGTGACTTTAAAAAGGGCTGCCTCCTGGGGCCTTCCTTTCTCCGTTTGTAAAATGGGTGCTGTGATCTAAGACCTCACAGAACGTATTGAAGATAACATGAAAATCAGTGTTTAGCAGGGTGACTAGTACCTAAGAGCCCTCGGAGACTCACTCGAGTCTTGGGCCAAGTGTGATGGTACATACCTTTAATCCCAGTACTGGGGAGGCAGAGGCTGGTTGATCTCTGTGAGACCCTATCTCTAAAAAGAAGAAAAAAGGAAATATAACAGCTCTGATTATCCAATTTCAAGAAAAGCTTTTTAAAAGAATAGTGGAAAAAAAATCTTAAGTGTTAAACTCGAAAGGGAAAGCATTTAAATTACACCTGGGCTTTTCTAAGTAAGAGTCATGTGCTGGATACAGAAATTGAAGAGCACATCCATGGTACAGGCCTAAAAATTTCTAAATCAAAATCAAAGAACACTCCGGGCGGTGGTGGTGCATGCCTTTAATCCCAGCACTCGGGAGGCAGAGGCAGGTGGATCTCTATGAGTTCAAGGCCAGCCTGGTCTCCAAAGCGAGTTCTAGGAAAAGCGCAAAGCTACACAGAGAAACCCTGTCTCGAAAAACCAAACAAACAAACAAACAAACAAATCAAAGAACACACACAAAATCATTCAAAAGTCTAAGTTGAGTCCTGTAGCGGAAGTCGCATCTCAGAGAAGTCACTACTGGTTACCTCTGGCCTGTTTACCCTTTGAGGCTTTCCGAGAAGCCGCGCTCCGCACCGCTCAGGCCTGGCTCTCTCAGCCTCTCCCTGACTCTCAAGGTCATGGCTCTTTGCAGACACCCAGCCAGCCCTCCTCTTTTCTCCATCCAGTTTCTTCCACTGCTCATGGTCTAAGTCATGCCAAGGCTAGGATGAAAGCCAAGAGAGGTTACAGGATGGGGGCAGCCCAGCTCTGAGAGGAAACCTGGAAGAAGCCATTTATCACCACCACTTCCCTCATAAAGTCCTTCCTTTCTGAGACAAAGCTGCAATTGATGGCGCCCTCCACTACCCAGTTCACTCTCCACCTCTCTGCAATGTCGCCTTGGGCGAAAAACTTTCCCAACGCCCTGTGCCAATAAATCATTCTAATTATGGTCCCAAGTTGTCTAACCCGGGCCTCCTCTGAAGTAGACTGTCTGTCTCCCCTTCGCCTGGGACTGCCTTTGCTTGGTTCTAGTTGTTCCTGACTCTGAGAGTGAGCATCGGCCTGCTATGTCCACGCTGGTATGAACCTTCTAATCTCCTTGCCCCTACCTGGCGATACTTCAGGCATGGGTGTCACCACCCTACCCTGAGGGCCTTGGAGCAAAGCAGCCAGCTGTGAAAGCTGAAGTCCCAGTGAAGTTAAACGCATCCAACTTGATAGCTTCGTTTGAGAGAAGTCCCCTGGAACCAGTGACAGATCTCTCAGGCTCCTCAGTTTTTCTTCCCAAGGCAGCTGACCGTCAAGTGCCCTGACCCACTTCAGACTTCAAAGGAGCTGCTGGCAAAGCCTGCTGCTTAATAGTGGCCTCTGGACTTCTCCATCAAGCTTTCTGGGCACAGGACACTGGCTGGCCTCAACTATAACCTAGGCAAATGGGCCTGACAGCACAGCTCCTCCAAAAAGTTCAGTGGGTTTTGTAAATGAGAGGCATGTTAAGGAAAACACTGTACCTTTCCAGACAATATGACCCAGGAAGAGAATATAGTCTTATATAAATAGTCCCTTCTTTGATTTGCCCTAAGTTCATTTCTTCCAAACACTAGAAGACTCATTTTCTTGTCATCTCCTAGGATTGGAGGCACTGGTATCATTACCTCTCCATCTTCTTCCTGATTTTTCAGACCTAAGTTTTAGATGGAGAGATAGATAGATAGATAGATAGATAGATAGATAGATAGATAGATAGATAGACATGATAGATGATAGATAGATATGATATGATAGATAGATAGATAGATAGATAGATAGATAGATAGATAGATAGATAGTAGACAGACTTACTGGCTTATAATAGTGTGGTGAATATGCATCCATCTGCCTGCCTGCCTTCATCCAAATCTTGTTTTTGATATGTGTGCCAACTTGGTCCTCTAGGACCAGGAAATGTGGCATGATGCAAAATGTCCACATGGTGCCTTACTAATGGCCACTGTGACCCTGGCGGGAAAAGCATGTAACCTCCCAGAACCTGTTTCCTTACCTTAAGGTAAAGATCATAATCACTGTGATCTGGTAACACTAACTGAGGACCTGTGGGGTTGGGGGAGGGGGGAGGGATGGGGATGGGAAGAGGCCCTTAGCACTCCTGATTCAGGGTGAACAGAGCTCAGTATCTGGGGAGGGAGGTGCTGAAAATCCTTCTGGAACCTTCTGAGAAGGGCACCTGAGGGGAAGAGTCTTTGAGAGAGTAAGTGAGCAGTGGTGGCTGAGGGAGAGCAGGAAGCACTCGGGAGTCAGCAGAATGGGGAAAGGCACCTTCAGGCAGAGAGCAGGGAGTGACAGAGCTGCAGGTAAGAGAGGCCTTGGGGCAGGATTCCTCCCTTCCTCAGTGGCGCCACCGAAGCCTCCGCCTCATCCTAAGGCTGAGACCACGGAATCACTCCACCACCAAAATGTCTCTGTGGATGCTGGCTCCCCTAGCCCTACCTCCACGTCACTGAGAACAGCCGTTTCTTCCCAGCTCTGGAGACTGTGGGAAGGGCTTTTCGCAGACAGGAAAGCCAGCCACCATGTAGCTGGGCCCCAGGCCCCTGCTGCACACAAAGACGGCTCTGTAAGTGAGCTCCACCAAGGAGCTGAGAGCGGGGCATCAGGCCAGCAACACCTTTCCTGATGTCGGGACTGACCTCCCACCTCCCACCTCCCACCTCTCTAGATTCTGAAGGCTCTCTTGGCTTCCAGAAACAACGTAGGCCTCCTTCAGAAGCCAAACAAAATAAGCCTGCAGTGGAAATGGAGAGGGGAAGGGAACAGACACACAGCGAAACCTTTCCATGAAGAGAAACGTGGCAGTGTGCTACACAGCAGTGCACCGATAGCCATCTCAGTCAGGGCCCAGTGCAGGACCAGCAGCCAAAGAATGTCAAGGATCATAAACATCTCTCATCAGAATACCAGGAACGTCTAAAGGCCGCTTAGGTTTACTCAAGCCAGAAATCAGTAGATGAAAAGGCACAGACAGAACACAGGAAGCGTCTATTTTCTCAGGAGACCCTGCCCTCTGCCAGGAACCAGCCATGAGCCTGATCAGCCAGCTCCAGCCAGCAGTGGGGGGTCAGGGAAAGGGGAGTTGGGTCAAACCATCCCCTCAATGTATGGGGCAAAGGCTATAGCACCAGCACCACCCACCCGGCCGAAATACAGACTCTTTCATGTATGGGAATGTAAAATTCTGGTTAAAGGGCTGGTGATTTGAATAGATCACTTGCTACACATGTATGAGGCCCTGGGCTCAATTTCCAGCCCCAGAAGGAAAAAAAGAAAAAACAAAACTGGTTAAAATTTTAAAATAAAATAAGTCTAGGATTTGGACATACCAAGAGTCTCAACAGTGGGAAAAGAGATTTCTAGAAGGGGTCTGCCTTTTAGAGGGGAACTCAGCTTCTGTCTTTATGAAAGATAGACGGTGCCCTGTCACACCTGTGAGGTAGGATCACTGGGGGAATTTGAGAAACCAGAAAATTCCCCTTCAGGACTAGGCACCTCAAAAGTAATGAACAAGAGGTGGACCCCAGCAGGCAGAGCTGTCTCCTAGCTGGGCTCATCGAGGCCCAGTAGCCGGGAGAGCGAGGCTTTCGAGGCAGAGGGAGAGCAGTACCAACAATGCCAGTTGCTGTGGAGTATCACTGCAGGATGTCACTTTCCGTTATCCTCACAGCCTAAGCCAGTCACCACAGCCATGCTCTGCTGACTTTCCTCTCAGTCTCTCTAGCTCTCTGCCTACCTCTCTCTTCATGCACCATCTCCTTTCTGTGCTGATCCTCCCAGGACGACTGCAGGGGGATGAGAAGAGCAAGGCGTGTAGACTGCAGCTCACATTCCAACTTCACTACCCGCTGGCAGTTGGATCTAAGGAAAATGAGTCTCCCCTAATCCTCGAGTTCCTAATCTCTCAGTGGACAAGAGCTAAATAAATGTATCTGTCCACCATGAATTCCTACCATGCAATTTGTGGCATCACATGAAGTCGGTGGACAGCCATAGCATTAATAACAGCATTAGAACATATGTGACCCTGTTTAATCTGTAGAACAACCCTATGATATAGGGAACAACCCTATGTGCTATAGTTGTCTCCAGTTCATGAACAGGGAAAGTGAAGTTCTCAGTTATTGGATGGATGGACAGCAGGGGGGTGGGTTGGTGGGTGATTGATGAATGGGCCATGGATTGATAGGTGAGTAAATGAATAGATGCTATGGTGATTACAAGAATTATTTACATCAGATCTGGGGGTGTAGCTCAGTGGCAAAGGGCTTGCCTAGGCTGTACAACTAGCTGTCTACAGCCATCAAAAAGTCTAAGTGTCTGGTACCTCCCCTTGTCTATTCTGATATCTGCCATTCTGTCTGTTTCTGCTGAAAACATTGAGACAAGACTGTTGAGCACCTGGACAGGGTGCTGCGGCAGATATCCCAGCCTCCAAGTCAGGACAGCTCCTGCAACTGTCTGAGTATCTACATAGATCCTTTGAAGGAGTAGGTAGCCTGACCACAGGAAAGAATAAACCTTAAACCACCACCAGGAACACAGGAACATCAGTACAGCCAACTCCTCCATGATCTCCTTCCTCCACAGACATCGGTTATGGTGGTTGAAAGTCTACCACACTATGGGCAATGTCCAGTTAGCCCAAGACCCTTGTTAAAAGATGACCAGAGGCTATGCACAAACAGGTGGCCAGCATGGGCACCTTTCCATTAATACACAGAGATTCCAACCAGTTCCAGATAGAGTCTGGCACACAGAAGGCATCTAATAACTATTGAATGGATTGGTAATTCCTCAGGCACTGGCCTCCAAACTCTACAACTCTATAACTCCAACTATAATAACCCTATAGGTCAAACATATTATTCCTGGTTTTCAGCTGTGGATTCAGAGGCCTAAATATCTATGGACCCTCCCCAAAAGGCACGCAGCTAAATCAGGATTTGAACCCAGGTCTTCAGAGCTCCTGAGTTCTTATTCCATGTTGCCTGAAGAATAATTTTTGCTTTCCTTCTCTATTGGGTACCCTCCTCTTAAGCACCAGAAAGAGGTATGATAATTTCCCACCTGCCTCAGCCTCCCTCTGGCGCCAATAACCACCTACAGAATCCTATCTCTCTGGTCGTCTTTGCAGAGAAGATGACCTGGACCCTTGCAACTCCATGCCAGAACTAGAGCTTTTTTCTGCCCACTGGGTAAGGGACAAGGATGCTAACATAACTGGACTATTCTTTGGAGCCCCTTAAAAGACTGTCGTCGTTGTCGTCGTCGTCATCCCCCCTTTAATTCTCTGTGCTCTGGTGCAGCCTGTGACTCCTACTGGACATCAGTGCACCCTGAATACTGGACCAAGCGCCATGTCTGGGAATGGCTCCAGTTCTGCTGCGATCAGTACAAGCTGGACGCCAACTGCATCTCCTTCTGTCACTTCAACGTCAGCGGCCTGCAGCTCTGCAGCATGACGCAGGAGGAGTTCATTGAGGCAGCCGGCATCTGCGGGGAGTACCTGTACTTCATCCTCCAGAACATTCGCTCCCAAGGTCAGTGCCAGGGAGCCTCGGGAGGAGGGCCTGAGACTGGGACCGGGTCCCTGCCGAGAGGCTTTCCCCTCCCATGAGTCTCATAACCCAGTGTTACCAGTGCTCAGTCACAAGCGCTCAGTAACCAGAAACTCTACTGTCCCGTGCTGAGAGTTTAGTCAAAAGGCAAGCAAGAGCCAGGAAAGCAAGTTAGGTAGGGTTTTGTATCAAGGAAAAGTAAAACTCAAGCCTGAGTAAGGAAGTCCAAAGCCAGGCTGAAAGCCTCAAACAAGAATGTTCGAAACTGATTGAAACCATGAAAGGTGAGCAAAAAGAGCATCCTCGAGAGCAAAAAGAGCGTTCTCCTTCTTCCCGGGCTAAGCAAAAAGGGAGACAATGAAAGAGACCTTCCCCCTTCCAATTTCTAGAGGAGTCCAAGAATTGCCTTTCTCAGTACATTCCTTTTGGTCAAGGATCCAGTGGCCAGAAGGTGGCACCAGTAGCATGGGAACACTATGAGCATGCGCTGGTTTTTTTCAAACCAGAAAGCTTTGAGAATGTCTGATTCTGGGTCCTAGAGATAGAGCAGCTGATGTAAGCAGCTCTGTGCCTTCGCTCTGGCCAGACAGTGTACAGGGCCGCTTCACAGGCAGTCAGGACAAAACGAGAGTCAGGAAATCTGAAGGATCCATTGTGTTACTAGCACAGGCCTGGCTCTTAGACGTGGAAGCCATAGCACTATTCTCCATAGCGGACTGTCTGTCCGCTGGGAGAATAGACGACCCTCCCTAGGCTTCTTTGGAAGATCTAGAGAGCAATTACTTGGCACAGCATATAAGGACACTAAGTAGCAGCTGTTTCTGTCGTTAATACAACTGGGGGAGCTGTGGGGGGAGACATGGGGGCGGGACACTAAAGCAGACACATCTATGTTTGATTTTAAGGAATCTTAAAATTTGTCAGTTATCTTGGAAAGGCTACTTCGGAAGACACAGGAGGCAGGAAGCTCCCTGCCACTGGGGAGCCAAGCTGTCTACCTGTCCCTCCTTGGAAGGCAGACTGTGTGCAAAGCAGAGATTCCCATTTGGGCGGAGAAACCTTCCAGCTCAGAGCACCTTCCAGCTCTGGGAGTCTGGGTCCTCTATTTGCTCCTCCCCATCTGGAGGCTTAAGGGCAAGGAAGCAGAGAGTGGTGACCCTGAGCTAGAAGTAGAAGCCTGTCCTGGGGGTGCGTACTCCCTAAATGGGGACAAGTCTGAGGGTGCCCCAGACACCCTAGGAGGAGGACCCTGGAACTCCATTCAGAAACCTCCCAAGGGCCAGGTGTGGTTGCAAACATCTTTAATACCTGCTCCATTCAGAAGTCCTTCCTGTAAGGTTCCTCAGGAAAGTCTGTGTCCATATGCCTCATGACCAGAGCTTACACTCCAGCAGTTTGTCCAGGACACAGTGGACTCACCGCTCACCCTGGAATAATCACCGTTAGAACTATCTTTCATTCTAAGGTTTCTCCATTTAGACAAAAATTATATTCTGGGTAGCAATCTAGCTTGTGTCTTGTGTACCCTGTAGTCTAGGGCTCTGCAAGAACAGGACATCGAACAAGAAGTCTCAACACAGGGAGGCACTAGAGGGGCCTCCAGAGCTCAGAGGATCATCTGGGTCAGTAGATACTGCAGTAAGATTTGACGGTCTGGAAGCATGGAGGCACTGGTCACCAGAGGGAGAGGTCATGGGAAAGCCTGGGCTTACAGAGCGGCTTCCACAATGAGAGACATGAAATATTTCTCATCAGTCCTGCCCCTGTTCTTGTTGGCCCTTTAGCCAGAGTGTCCCAATTGTGTTAGGAAAAAGAAAGTAGCCTTCATGGTGGACACCAGGTTAGGAAATAAGTGTCTGTTGACCTGGCCTGCTTCCTAGAAACATGATCTTAAACTCCAGCCCAGCTCACCACTCCACAGAGTAAGGAACCAGCATGGTCTTCCAATGAACTGAGGGTCCAAGTAGAGCTATGTGACTCTGAGCTTCTTATCATTCTCTTCCCTTTGGCTATCACAGTCATTCTGATCTCCGAGGACTACAGTCCCATGTCAGAAATCATAGGCCCAGGGCCAGAAGGGGGTAGAGTGGGTATTCAACCTCATATTCTCCTGAGACTAACCAATGAGCCCAGAGAGCCCGTGACTGGCAAAGCGCAAAGGCAACAGTGATCCAGCTCAGTGCAGAGCCCAGATTTCCTGGATCCTAGACAGGATTCACTCTCTTAGAGCTCAGTCAGCAGACCCGCAGAACCTTCTGGAATCTCTGGCATTGGTTGTTCTTCTTGGGTAACCTTTGAAAAAGAACGATGTTATTTGGCTTCAGGGTGGTTTTATAAGGGCCAGATGGTGTCCAAGTTTCCCTCTGACAAAACCCACCCCTCCGAGGGGAGAATTACTTCCCTTCCTCCAAAGCCTCCCCTTCTTGTCTGGACAGCCCCCTGGACTGCATGGAATGGTTTGTGAGTCTCTCTTTCCCTTTCTTTCCCAGGTTATTCCTTTTTCAACGACGCTGAAGAGACCAAGACCGCCATCAAAGACTGTAAGTATGGCCTTCAAACTGCCCAAAGCTATGCCCAAGCTATTGCTGGCCACTTGGATTTGATCCTGCTTTAACAACCACACTAGAAGGTCGATGGGCAAAACAAGCCAAGACTTGGAGAAAGAGTAGAGAGAAATGGGTTAAAAAACTGTAGGGGAAGGGGGTCTGTGGGACAATAACTCCGTGTCCTCCCCAAGACTCCATTTCTCTGTCTATAAAACATCAGGACCCTCCTGGGGTGTGGTTAGTTTAAGAAGCAATGGCATTTGTACCTGATAAGGACCTTTCTGGTGCCTGCAGTGTGGATACTATAGAGCCAGTGCCCATTAGTCATGATACCAATGACTTCCAGCCATTAGAGGCCTTATGGTTGCTGATATTTCAGAATAACCTGAGCCCACTTAGTAGGTCAAATTGATAATTAGAAGATAATGGGGAGGTCTCAAGTGGCCTGTGATCCCAATGATTAGTCTCATTTCATTTCTGCAGATGGAGGCTCGCATTTTTAAAATATTTTTATTTGTTCTTTGAGACTTTCATACATGTATGCAATATATGTTGATCATATCTACCTCCTACTCTTCTCAACATGTTCCCCTCCCAACTTCATGCCTTTTCTTCCTTTTTAAAAAAATAATACATGATTCCAGTTAGTATTGCCAATACATGTGTAAGGATGTGGTGCCATTCACTGGAGATAGCCAGCCACCCTAGAAAATGACTTCCCCCCAGCAGCCACCAACTACCAATACTTAAAGCTACCATTTTTTTAAAAAAAATGATTATTATCACTATTAATTACTTTGTCCTGTGCAGAGACCCTGTCCAAGGGCTGAAAAGAGGTGTGGTCCTGGATAGGGCCCTTTCCCCATGGAGTCTTGCTCAGCCACCTGCAAAGAGTAGGCGGGTCACATGGAGCTTTCCAAAGCCCTTCTGAAAGATAGATCCAAAGGGACAGACAATGAGGGTTAGTTATATAGTTGTTAGGATTTTTAAGCTCTATGTTATTATGTGTGTCCGTGTGTGTGTGTCCGTGTGTGTGTGTGTGTGTGTGTGTGTGTGTGTGTGCAAGTGCACATGCCATAGTGCAAATATTGCGGTCAGAGGCTAACTCTCGGGAGGCAGTTTTTCCTTCCACTGTGAGTTGCAGGGATCAAACTCAGTTCGTCAGGCCTGCCCAGCGGGCACTTTTGCCTCCCAAGCCATCTTGCTGGGCCAGGAATTTTTTCCCTCTCCCTAAAATCCCAATTTAAGTTCTTAGACTTGTGATTAATTAAAGTTTTGTGGTTTTTGTTTGTTGGTTTGGGGACATTAGCACAAGAATAGCAACTTCAGTTGTGAAATGAGTCACCCCCCTCCAGCCCCAAGGACCCTGGCTGGTCTTAGCAGAGAGGAGGAAGTAAAGCTTCCAGGGAACAACGGCAACTGCCACATAGTCCTTGAAAAAGAGCTAGAAGGTGTGTCATTGGGTCCAAAGCAGTAGCCACTAGCCATATGTGGTCATTACTTAAAATTAAATAATGCTAAAATCCAAGTCCTCAGGAGCACTAGTCATGTTTTAAATGCACAGTCACAGCTAGCCAGGAGCCGCCATATTGGATTGCTGGCATTCGCCATCACAGAAGGTTCTCCTGGGCATTATCAGTGAAGAATCAGCAGCATCCACAGGAGGGATGGGAACTGAGTCTGAGAGCTGGACAAGGGCAGATTTATGAGTGGTGGAGTTTGGGTTTCATGCTGAGCAAGCTGAGCAGCCACTGAAGGGCTGAAAGCATGGACATGGTAAAGGTCATAACTAGATTTGAAGATCTCTTGGGCTGCTCTGTCTGAGTCAGACGGGAGTCTGCTATCTAGGATGGTGATGCTGGTGGCCTAACCAGTGATGCAGAAGAAATGGGGGGAAGCTTCCAGAAGTGAGGGTGGTGGGGGAAAGGCTTTGGGTAAGTGTGTGAAGGACTCACAGAGATAAACCCTCCACCAATGGCTGCTGCTTGAGGCTCTGACCCATCTGCTCCAACCCAAAGAGGTACAGCTTCTAGACTGAGCCTAGACTTAAGGCCTCTGTTGAGACTACCCAAACAGCAGCCTCACAGTTCTTCCTATCCCAGCCCCAGTTCCATGGCCAGGATACCACTGCCTTCTCCAGATCCTCCTGAGGCCTGGCTCTGGCTTTTCTGCAGCCTTTAGGACCATGCTTCCCCAAGGAGCAACTCTAATGTAGAACTTGATAGGCACAGAGGTAAGCATGAAGTCAACAACTGGATAGCTTATACAGTAAGCCTGCCCTAGGACCACATGGCCTCAGAGTCTATGACCCAGCAATGTTTCATGGTCCCAGATATCCTGGAACAGGAGACCAAAGGCTGCCTTTCAGTGCTGATGCCAACCAGAGACCACAGCATGGCCAAGGAGGGGGGGTGGTATACTGGGGGCTTCAGTAAAAATTGCTAGCTATCATTGTTTTTTAAGCACTTAACACTGTGCCAGGTGTAGAGTCAGAAATCTAGACATATGAACTCACATGTACTTCCCCATCTCCATTTTCATCTGAAGAAACCTGGGGTGCAGCAACTTGAGAGTAAACAAAACCCTGGGGCAGATTCCCTCTTGTCCTTTCAGTGGCTCTATGCTTAGACATCAAGCTACAGGTACATACACACATACGTACACATGTGCATACATACATGTGTACACATGTACACACACACGTGCATAGTTGCTTCCAGGCCCTTCTGTTTGTTCTCCTGCCCACTTAGTGGAGACCCAAGACTCCTGGGACGTGTCTGCCTCTGAGTCTAGCTTGACAATGATCCATAGTGAGGATCTTCAACTCAGTTCCCACCAAAAGTCCAGCAAACCACAAAGTCATCAAAACTGGCTAAGGAGAAGCAGTCCAAACCTTGATCACGTTTCCTTTCCTCTCTACATGTCCCCACCCTCCTCCACTATAGGATGTCAGTAGAGGCCACACCATACCCAAGAAGAGAGCTTATGCTCTTGGGTTCATGGCTAGCATCTCCTGCTCTTGGGCCTTGGAGTATCTCTGTGCCATGCTAGTGTAGGGTGGGCTTTTTGGATGGACTGACAGTATCATGGGCTGCAATGGGCTTGGTTTTGAAACCCTATGCCCAGGCCTCCATCCTAGCTTCTGGAGGACACCCGACTATGATTTCAACCAACAAATGGTAAGAAACCCCTTGGCTCTGTTTTAAGTTTCCAATCTCAACCAGGCCTGCCCAAGCCTCATAGACAGTAAGGGGGCTATGCCTCCCCTCAGGCCATACCAGCCACCCCAGATGCATGAATACAGATGATACACACACACACACACACACACACACACACACACACACACCGAGGCTACTATTTGCAGAGAAACAGAGTTCCTCCAGGGTACTGCAGCAGACCAACAGCTCATCATGGCAAAAGGTTTAAACAAGCACCTGCCTCAAGATCGGGTTGGCAGTAAGGACTCCACCTCCTCTGCCTCAGCCCCTACCTCAATAACTAGATTTTAAAAAAGAGATTTGGAACCTCCTCAGCCCATGAGGGCCTTCAAAGTCCCCTGGACCTGGGACAGTTAGGACAGAGTGATGTGACCTGAACCATCTTCATGTCCCCTGTGATGCCTCCTGCTCTGTGTTCCCAGCACACCAAATAGCCTCCATCCCAAGCACAAGGGCCTGTAGAAACGAAAAGCATGCCCTTTCCCTGGCTCTTCTTGTCACTCAATGAAGGCTTCTTATCTGTTCCCAGTCACTGACTTGCCTTTGTTTATTGTTATGGCTCCACTTGCTTCTCCCCTAAAAGACTCAGTGCCACAATGGCGAAGTCTAGAGACTGGGACAGACACAGCACAAAAGAGGCAGTGACGGCTGTTCGGCCCATATGAGCTAAATGCTCACTCGGTGCCTGCCAAACGCCTCCTGAGAGGACATGATGGCATCCTGGTTGTGAGTGTTAGCCCTAGGATGGGAACTCTGGATTCAAGCCCCCGCTCCACACCTGGACAAAACGCTTTAACTCTCTGGGCTTCAAACTCCTCCTCAATAAAATGACAATCATGTCATCCAGGGTTGTTGCAGGACTGTGATGTTGCATATGAGGACTCCATCTAAGAAGCACTCGGCATTTAGTAAGGGCTCCATAAGAAGCATCAGCTTTAGCAGAGACAAGGCGAGGTGGATTTTGAAGGAAGAAGAAACACACTGTGATTCCAGAAACACGTGGGTGCTCTTAGATCTCAGGTGGGGGGGTGGGGGCTCTAGCCCAGGAGGTGGCTTCAGGGAAGGGTTCTGAAGAGGCTCTGTGAGAGTGAGGGTCTGCTGAGTGGAGTGTCGGGTGAGGAAAGTGTGCAAAAATACTGAGTCCCAGGAAAGTCACACCCATCGAAACCAACTAACCTCAGAGATGAGAGAAAGTTGGGGCACAGAAGGAGATAAGGTTGGAGGGCTGGGTATGGCCCAGTTTATGAAAGGCCTGCCTAATGTGATAGCCTTCGTCCTGGTGACAAAAGGGGACCACTTCGGGAGTGATATGACCCAGTGGCACAGAATGCAGAACCTGGGCAACAGTGTACACAGGACACCCTTCCCTCCCAAGATGGCATGTCTATTCCTTTGTCCCATTAGTACACATCCCAGTCTATACCGTCAGTGTGATTAGTGTAGTGTAGTGGCTGAGGAGATCATTTATTTAATACCTGCTGTATACTCAGCACCATGCTAGGTACTGAGGGAATACATAGGCAAAGACAAATCCTGCCCTCTAGTGGACACAGACTGTAAACCACACAGACAAAGGTGTCATGAAGGAGTTCAAAGGCAATTAAGGGAAGTAGATGTGGGATTGATTCTAAGTGGAAGCCTAGGGGCACATATGTGTGGTTACAATTTTCATGGCTGGAGGCGGCCAGCCCTGGAAGGTGGATTTGAGTCTAGGCTGAGATGAGGATGTAAATACCCAGATAGTAAAGGAACGAGCATTCTGGGCAAAGAGCAACATAAGGCTGCCCCGAGGTGGACTATGCCTGCAAGTGAGGAGGAGCTTGTGTGGCTGAAGCAAAGTGAGCACAGGATTGGGAGGACAGACAGATTCAAGGCGGTAGGGGGTACGTCTGGTTCTGGTAGTCTATTAAAACTTTATATACTTTGGGACAATGCATGTATGGGTATCTCAGATTATCAATTACAACACAATAATACATAATTCAATTCAATATTGAGTTAACATCTTGCTTCCTTCATTAATTCTAATCTCTTTGTTTTTATTATGTCCCTTCCAATCTATTCTCCACATAGTCACAAGAGGTGTCTTCTTACAATGTGGGTCTTTGAGCTAGGGATGTGGCCCAGTTAAGCAGTTTGTGTAGCGCACATGAAGCCTTGGCTTCAATTCCCAGCATGGTACAAATTGGAAACGGCAGTATATGCCTGTATATCCAGCACTCGTTCAAGAGGGGGAGGGAGCAGGGCCAGGAGTTCAGGATCACTCAAAATACAGTGAAGCTCAATGCCAGCATGAGCTATGTAAGGCTCTGCCTCAAAAAAACATGGAGGTGGAGGTGGGGGTGAGGGCAATCTCTGCTTCACTTTAATATAAAATCCCAAACCGTCATCCAGCCTCCAAAATCATGACCTGCCACAGCCTGCAACCTACGTGGATGGCAGCAGCACCTCCCACCCTCTCTAGCTATAGGGTGTGCAAGCTTCCTGAGTACTTGGGGATGGAAAGAGCAGAGTGCACACTACCTAAAACCAAAGTAGAGCTCCCTCTACCTAAAACCCTCCTGCTTTTCCTCCTCTTCCTCCTCTTCCTCCTCTTCGCCTGTCCCCCTCCCTTCTCTTCCTCTCCTCTCTCTCTCCCCCTCTCCCTCCTTCCCCTCTTCCTCCTCCTCCCCAGTTCATAATGTAGCCGTCTCCCCTTGTGAGAACCTCCCTCATAAAGTAACCACTTCTCTCCCTCATTCTCTATACAGTGTCACGTATTGATGACGTTTCAAACAACAGGTGATTTGTCTGCTTCCCCTGGGCTTCACCTAGCCCTACGAGTGAGTAGGGACTCCGTCGGAGTGTTCTCTCTTGTATTCCAGCAGGAGCCCAGCATGCACTTACAGCAGGTCCCAGGATTGATCAATTGATGGATCACACCCCATCCCTCCATCTCCTAACCAGCCTAAAGTCTCCGACTGCAAAGGCTGGCAGTTGACTTCCGCTCTCCGGGGTGCCGTTTGAGGCTCCCCGACTGCCATGGGTCCTTCTGTTTCAGATGCTGACTCCAGTTGCTTGAAGACAAGTGGCATGAAGAGTCAAGACTGTCACAGTCGAACAAGTAAGAGCAGGGACACCATTTGTCTTCCTTGAGGCAGTTTTTCTTTGGAATTAAGTGTTGGAGTGGGACCAGTCACTTCCCCGGGAAGGTGGTAGAGACATCAACGACTGCTTTCGTACATGGGATCAAAATCATTCTTTTCACCTGGGCATCGTATTTTAAGAATTAGAGAAATGTTCTGGCTGGGTTCTGTTACGGAGGGAGAGTTTTCTGTTTCCTAGTCCACTGTGTGGTCTTCTCACTGATGTACTCAGGGGAAGAGAATAAAGGCAGTGTGGGGAATTGGCCAGCCCATGAGCCTTTCCCAGTGCTGAGGTCTGCCCTGCAAGCAGTCACCCTGTGCTAGGCCTGTGTCTAGCCACTTGCCATGCATTAAACCATCAAACCCTCGAGCCCACAGTATGACACAGGCACCTTATTACTCCTTTGATGCTGACAGCAACTAAAGAAACTGCATTTCCAAGGCCAGGAAGAGGCAAATTCCAGACCCAAACCCAGGCAGTCAAAACCCAGTCAGTCTTACCCATCCCTCAAGGCACAAGAGTAATGCCAGCTCCTTGTGATAAATGAAAACTGCAGAATGGCTGTGGGTACCAGATCTTATTTTTAAAATGAATGTATTTGTTTATTTTACATCCTGGCCACAGTTTCCCCTCCCTCCTCTCCTCCCAGTCTCTCCCCCCACCTCCCTCTGTTCCCTCTTCTGTTTATGTTCAGCTCATGATTAGGCGGAAAGGGTAGGTCTCCCATCTTAATGCAACCCTCTTGCCCATTAGAAAGGAGTGAGCTCATGAGGAGCCATAGTGCTTTAAATCTCATGTCTCTGTGTGGGAATTTTGCTTATAGTTTATCAGATAACAAACGTTTTCCAACTTAGTAAGGCTCTAAGCAGAGCATGCAAAGTGAACAGTGTCCAGTGCAACAACAGTTCTCATAGGTTAATCAAAAGTTACACCTCTCTCTCCCTCCCTCCCTCTCCCCCCCCCTCTTCTTCCCCCTCCCGCTCTCTTTTCTTTTAACATCCCTCATTTTTTTTTTGGTTTTTCGAGACAGGGTTTCTCTGTGTAGCTTTGCACCTTTCCTGGAACTCACTTTGTAGACCAGGCTGGCTTCGAAATCACAGAGATCTGCCTGTCTCTGCCTCCCGAGTGCTGGGATTAAAGGCATGTGCCACCACCGCCCGGCATATTTTTTAATTGTTTGAGATTATAATTACACCATTTCTCCCTTCCCTGTCCTCCTTCCAAAACCTCCCATATACTCCCCTCCCTCTACTCCAAATTCATGACCTCTTTCCCACTAATTGTCATTACGTGCATATATGTGTAGACATGTGCATTCCTAAATAGACCCTATCCAGTCCGTATAACATTACTTGTATTATGTTTCCAGGACTGACCATTTGGCACTGAACAGCCAATTGGTGTGCTCTTCCCTGAGGGGGGCCACCTCTCCCCATCCCAGCTTCCCTCAGTTGCCTGTCGTTCTTGTGTAGGATTGAGGCCTCGTGGGCTTTTCCCTGTCCAGTTTGGCATGTCCATTGGTGTCATCCTTGTTCAGCTCATGATTAGGCAGAAAGGGTAGGTCTCCCATCTTAATGCAACCCTCTTGCCCATTAGAAAGGAGTGAGCTCATGAGGAGC